TGTTAGTATAGGAATTAGTAATGGCCTTGCTATCATGTATTAGTGGGAGAATTGATAATGGCCTCTCTAATACCATATGCACTTTATAAGGATAAGAGGACACGATGGCTTACAAAGGGAATGATAAACTCTTTTTAAGGTATCAACTCTTAGTGAGATTCATGGATAGATGTATTCATGAGGGAATTTATAATGGCTATACTAATACTAAATGGTCTTTATAGAAAATGTTAGTAGGGGAATTAGTAATGGCTTTACTAACATATATTGATGGGAGAATTGATCATGGCTTCAATAATATCAAACAATTTTTAGATGGCTTTTTGTAAAGAACAGCTTTTCAATGAGGGATTAATATATAGACATTCAGTAGGGTACATATAAGGATAGAATTTTTTTTTCAACAACATGAAAAATGTATTTTTTTACATACATGTATGATTGTACTTATAAGCATTAGCTCATAGTTTGTCTTGTGGTGTACGAGTAAGCTAATGATGCATAAAGACATGTTGTCACATCGAGGATATTGTCGTGAACGAGTGAGTTTGCCAAAGTATGTACTATATATATGAGTTTAAAGTTCAAAAGCTAAATAATAACTATGTCTTACATGCTCAATCACTTTGATTTGTAAACTCAATTTACATTTTTCTAAGTTAATGTATAAACATGATGTGAGGTAATGAAATGGTTATCATTTGTGAAATTAATTATGAGGTTATGGAATGGATTTACATTTAATGAAACTTATTGGCTTTAAATATAAATGTGATAAACTAAAAGGTGATCTTAAACTTTAAACCAAAATAATTTTACCGAGGACATAGGGCTTAGTGTCTTGTATCTTATGGGTGTAAGGCCATACCGATAACACTCTTTGTCTCCTTTAGAATAGGGGTGTTACATTACGCATCTTTTTTAGTTGTGTCTTCATGCATACCTTTAACCCACATCTTTGTGCATACTTTTAAGTCGTGTCTTCACGTACATCTTTAAGTCATGTCTTGATGCACAACTTAGAGTCGTGTCTTCGTGCATATCTTTAAGCTATGTCTTTGCGTATACCTTTAAGTCATATCTTTATGCATACCTTTAAGTCATGTCCTTAAGCACCTTCTTTTCATCTTATTTTTTTTCTTGCTAAGTTTAATATCTATTCTAATAAGATGAATTAACTTAAATAGGCATAGAATCGTCACATAGTAGGACTAGATATTGACATTCAATATGTATGTAATGTAACTTTCCTTAGGTAGGATATGATACCAATGATTTCACTCTTTTCTACTCATAACCAACCTCTTATCTAGATTTTTATGTAGACTAGTCATTTGATTTTTCTAGTTTTCCTAATACTAAGTGGCGACTTCTTTTTCTTAATTCCCTATCTTTCCTAAAGAGTAATTCACTAGATCCCAACAAGTGTGCCCTCTATGATAGGTATAAATAAGAAATGATAAAAATTCAAATAGGGTGGTAAAAAATATATAAAGACAAGTAAAAAAATTGAATTTCTTTCTCTCTTAATTATCTCTCTCTCTCTCTCTCTCTCTCTCTCTCTCTCTCTCTCTCTCTCTTTAAACCATTATAATTCAATCAAAGAAGGATAACCAAACCACTAAAACATACCATCATCAGCTTAGAAGCCTTCATTTACCCTCGATAGTGGTTGATCATAATGGAAGAGCCACTAAAATGACTAAAACAAACATGAAACTCAACTATGTTAAAGTTTATTCTTTGGTCTTTTGTTAGATTTTTTAACCGAAATCTCCCTCATCGAAAGCTAAAATAATACTTTAACAAGTATCTTAGATCGACTTTGAATAATCATAGCTTTGAAACCTTTAATTTTTGATCGAGTTTACTAGAAGAAGAAGAAGAATTTAGCCAAAAATTGCAATCACCAATCCTTCTTTTCTAATTGGTTGTGTTCAACGCATCCTTTATCGAAGATTTGAAGGGTATGAGAGCAAGTTATTCCAAAAGCATGTGCTAAACGAAAGTCGAAAACTTGATCGACGATGACTAAAAGCTAATTGTAGAAAACGATGATGACCAATGGTAGTTTCATAAATAAAGGTTGTGCATGTCACACACACACTATAGGCAATTTTGAGATTCCGACCATAATTTAGGGTTATCTTGGGATTTTTATCATACAAGGGTACTTTGGCAAATACATCAACTGCCTCAGAGACATTATGAAATTTTTTAACAATAGTTTAGGATATTTTAGAAATTTTTAGTGACTTTTCTAGGTAAGTTTTGACTACTTTTATCATTTTACAAAATTATTTTTAGCTTTCCATATGATTTTGATTGCTTATGAAAATGATTTGAAGTAATGTGATATACTAATGTATATAAAACCCAATGGGATTGAGACTCATTGGATATGTTTAGGTGAAATAAGGATGGATTCAATACATTATAATGGAGTTAGAAGGATGAGATTGTGATTTAATTTCAAGAATTATTCGGGACGGATGTCAATCCCGATGCAACTTTGATTATGTGATTGTTTGGGTGTGATTAAGTTTTGAATTGATTATTAATATGATCCTTTATACATAATTGATTTATTGATTTTGAAATTGTATGATTTGTGCGAAATGACTTATGATGATGTATGTGGCTTGATTTTCATTTGTCGATTAACAATTTATGTTTAAATTATTTATGATGTTGTTATCGATTTGATTTTCATTCGTTGACCAATATTGACTTGATTTTTATTCGTTGATGAACGATCAATGAAAGTGATTTGTATCATTATTTTTTGTTTGATTTTCATTTGTTATCAAACAAATGTTAAGAAATGATTTGTATTATATTTTTTTCTCGACTTTGTGTTGGACATCAAACGATCTATAAAAAGATGATGGTTCACTTCTCACTTGTGATTTGATTGATGATTTTATGATTTTATAATATTGAATGACAGTTTGCTTTCTAATTATGATTTGAGTAGTGATTTTATGATTTTACAATTTCGCAATACCGAATGATGATTTGATTCTCACTTAAATTTAAGTGGTGATTTTATGACTTTATAGTTTTATGATATCAAATGACAGTTTGCTTCTCACTTATGTTTTGAGTGGTGATTTTATAATATTTTGTTTTTGCAATGCCGAACGACAGCTTGCCTCTCGCTCATTGTGAAGATTTTTTGATTTTGAGATGTCAAATGTCGGTTTGCCTCCCACTCATTATAGAGATTTTTGTTTTTATGATTTTGCCATGTCGAATGATAGTCCTCCTCCTATTCATTGCCGAGATTTTTAATTTTAAGATTTGCAATGCCGAATGATGGTTCACGTCCCACTCTTTTATGATTTTGTGACATTGAATGACGATTAGTCTCCAACTTGTTGCTTATATGTTTGATTTTATGATTTGTGATATCGAATAATGGTTCGCCTTTCACTCGTTATGGAGATTTTTGGTTTTATGATTTTGAATGCTGAATGATAGTTCAACTCTCACTCATTTCTAATGATGTTTGTTTTATGACTTTATGATGCCGAATGATGAAATTGCGTCATTGTCGAGATTTTTTATTTTATGATTTTACGATGCTAAATGACAGTTTCCTTTCTACTTATGATTTGAGTGGAGATTTTATGATTTGCAAAACAATTGAGTTTTAACTTGCTTTTCAATGTCTTTTTATTTCAAAGTGAGGATAGAGGTCTTTTGTTAGTCTAAATCCCAAATCACTTAACTTTTGTGAATGATTAATTTTTTAATTTGATGACTAGCACGTCCAAATAAATACAAACAATTTAGCGTAATAAAATAAAAAATAAATGTTTAGAATGATATGCGATGCAACTTACATCAAAGAGGACAGTGAATGATAATTGTTATTTTCTTTTCATGTAACCAATCTCTTATTTATGATCTTTTAGCCAAACAATTATTTACATTTTTTTTTTTTAAATTAGCTTTGATACTAAGTGGTGATTTTTATTTTTATTTTTATTTCTGTCTCGCAATTTGGATGTCCACACAAATCACTGAGAAATTGAAGTCGTATGTGGACCATTCATGGTTCGGACAAAAACAGGTTTTTATCCTTATATATATATATATATATATATATATATATATATATATATATATGGCAAGAGCGAGGTTTGTCTTTGCTGTGAATTGGAATAACGCAACCTTTTTTTTTTTTGGCTGTTTAATATTAATTGTAAAGGTCTTCCATTATGAAATCTTCAATCCATAAAACAATTAAAATTAGCCTTTTGTTTCACAAGTCAATGAACATGTCAAAATTTAATTATGATTGATAATGAAAGCAATATTTATTTATCAAACTAGTTTAAGTATAAAAATTCATTGCATCAATCAAAACAATTTTGATTTGCATGAATCCGATTTCAATGCACAAAACAATTATACCATCTATTTATTGCTTTTCTTCCTTTTCTTCTCCTCACAACGAGATCAAGGACAAAAGGCAGCATCATTCTTAAAGACAAAACAATATAGGAGTCCACATACAACGTAAAAAGTTCCCATCTCAAGAAATGGATGGTACCACGTGCTCCTCACATGTTCAACCTCCTAAAAAACTGGGAAACCTGTGCTCTCTGACGGACACGTGTACATGCAGAATCTTACCCATTACAGGATGGACCCAGAAGGGGTGGATGGTGACAAGTGTGTTCATGAGCAAGCGAGTATCAAAATCTTCCTGTACTCCCAGAAGGATCCTAAAAGACAAAGCAGCGTACAGTGAAGAAACATAGACTGACTCTCATCTGGGACCTACCTCATAACTCAACCAGCCATAAGATAAGGCAACAACTTTCTGAGCCACTAAATTGTTTCCACGTGTCATTCCCAGTCTTTTGTCGGACCCCACTTGTGTTTTTTCCTACAGGTATACTACCCCCTCCTTGCAACTAATGCTCACTCACACACTCATTGCTAGCTAGCTCAAAAGCAGTGAAATTGAGGGAGAAAGAAAGGCAATAATGTTGAAGGAGGAGAGTACTGGTGCTGGTGGCGGCGGTAACAATTGGGCACGCGTATGTGACACGTGTCATGCAGCAGCTTGCACTGTCTACTGCCGGGCTGATTCGGCATACCTATGTGCCGGGTGCGATGCCCGTGTGCATGCTGCAAATCGGGTCGCATCGCGCCATGAGCGGGTGTGGGTGTGCGAGGCGTGTGAGCGTGCCCCGGCTGCCTTGTTATGCAAGGCAGATGCGGCGTCTCTCTGTACTACCTGTGATGCAGAAATCCATTCTGCAAACCCACTAGCCCGCCGCCACCAGCGAGTTCCAATTCTGCCCATTTCCGGCTGCCTTTATGGTCCCCAAGAAGGGCCTGCAGACGGTGACACTGAAGATCGATTCATGACACAAGAGGGAGAAGAGACAATTAGTGAGGAGGAGGAAGACGAGGCTGCTTCATGGTTGCTGCTAAATCCTGTGAAGAACAACAACAACAACCAGAATAATAATGGCTTCTTGTTTGGTGGGGAGGTGGATGAGTATTTGGATCTTGTGGACTACAACTCATGTGCTGAGAATCAATATCCTGATCAATATAATCAGCAACGCTACAGTGGTCCTCCGAAGAGTTATGGGGGTGACAGTGTTGTGCCAATTCAGTATGGAGAAGGAAAGGATCATCAACAGCAACAGCAACAGCAATATCACCATTTTCAGTTGGGATTGGAGTATGAGCCCTCAAAATCTGCTTACAGCTACAATGGTTCAATCAGTCAAAGTGTAAGCTCTTCTTTTCTCCATATAACTCACAGTAGCATTTACTAATTTTATTTTATTTTTATTTATTTATTTTTCCATACATACACAAAGTGGTATCACAGGAACTTCTCTGGAAGAGGTTTGAGCTCTTAGGGAATTTCTTAATTTAGTCCACAACCTGTTGCAACTAATTAAGTGTTGTCTCAAAATTTCAACTCATTTTTATAATCAGCAGCTTTATACATAAGTTAAATTACTGAATTCCGACTCTCAAACATGATTGTTCCTTTTAAGTTGGGTAGCATATATGGTTTCCAATTTATTAATTGACCTTGGTGCTTCTGAAATTGAATCTGTCTTTGTTGATCATTAGGTTACTAAACAAGCTAAACCTGTTTTCATACTACTTTTAGTATTATTTATGGTATGGTCATATGCCTACTAGCTAATCTTTTCTATATGTCGCAATTAAAGAGCTTAAAGGTATCATATTCTACCACTCACCCTGCTTGTATTTGTAAAAAAGTCCTGGGGGTATATCTTCGTATAATTTCTTTGCACTTTATGAGCTCTCTTTTGCTTTTACCTTTAACTTTCTCCTTTGATGGATGGAATCTGACGGTGCAAGTGTTTGAGCCCTTTTGTTTAATTATTCTTCCCTTTTTCTTCCAAGTGATTGATTCAGGATTAACATCATTAACTTGGTACTTCTATATAAACAGAATATGAAGTTTAGTTCAAATCTATTAAAAATGTTTATTTGAAATTTACTGATATATTTTTTGTTCTTTCGTTTTTGGTTTGGTTCAATGAAGTTTTAGTTTCCTTGTAACTTCCTAAAGAACCAACAAAAATATGTATTTTACGAGACCTGTGGATTTAGTGCTGTTCCATAAAGATAGAACCTGAAAATTAACTTGGTGAAATTTTCTTATTGTTCTAAACATTTGGTTTTCTCTATTCATTTAATTAGGTATCCATGTCATCCATGGATGTTGGGGTGGTGCCAGAATCATCAATGAGCGAGATGTCAATCTCGCACCAAAGACCTCCAAAAGAGACAATCGATCTTTTCTCCAGCACTCCTATCCAGGTGCCATCTCAACTTAGTCCAATGGACAGGGAGGCAAGAGTCCTAAGATACAGAGAGAAAAAGAAGACAAGGAAGTTTGAGAAGACAATCAGGTATGCCTCAAGGAAGGCCTATGCAGAGACCAGACCCCGGATAAAAGGCCGGTTTGCGAAGAGAACAGATGCAGAAGTCGAAGTGGACCAGATGTTCTCCTCATCACTAGTGGCAGAAACAGGATATGGCATTGTCCCATCGTTCTGAATCCAGTGAGAAGAAGCAAAAGAAAAAAAAACATCTCCTTAGATGAGGATTGTATTATTTATTACTAAAGATATAGTACTGATGCGTACTCTATGTTTCTATATCCAATTGGTCTTGATCAATGGGATCATATGCTCTTTTGTAGTTTCGCTAAATACAGTAAAGCTGCTGCTGTTTGTAAATGCCTGTATATCTATTAATTTTGACGTTGAAAAAAAGAAAAAAGAAAAAAATTCAAGTATCTTCATTTTCCGAAAATTACGTGGTAATTGAATGTGATTTAACCATCAAATATTTGATAGGGAAAGGGAAAACAAAAAAAAAAAAAAGGTTCAAATGGTCACCGAAAGTAATGACGGCTTCATCAGCAGCAATCAAATAATTATATGCAGGGAAAAAGAAAATTTGAGTGTCTAATTTTTTTCCCCGCTGTTTGAGTGTCCATTATCACCTAAAACTAAAATATATTGGTGTTATATGTGAACAGTCATCCAGCAAAAAGTAAAAACACAAACATATTAGCATTTTCTAGTCTCAAGTGTCTCACTTGGATTATTCAAAAAATATCAAAACTCTTTTAGAAAAAATTATAATTTGAGTGCCTAATATTTGATAATATTAATTGTCTGTTTGATTGGCCAAAGCTTGATTTTTTTTTTTTCTATTTGAGTTCCATCAATCGCTTGAAACTAGAAAATATTGATGTGATCAAGACCCATTAATATATGATATTTTTTAACTGATAAGTGATAAAAATAGGTTTCACTCAAATTTATTAAAAAAAACAAAAAATAAAAAACTTTTAGAAAAGAAAATATCTAGCAATAATTTAAAAAAAAACAATTAGGATTAGCTAAATGAACTCGACTAATTTGTTGACTAATTTCTTAAAATACTTTTAAGATAGCATCATCTAAACATGTTAGCACGATCCAAGAGTTTTATCCTTACATCATTTAAACAATTCAAATTCATTCAAGTAGTGGTAATTGATTTTGATTTTTTTTTTTAATTCTTGTCAAATATTTTCTTTTATATTTTTTCTCAATAAATTTGAGTGGGATGCACTTTTTACCACATGTCGGTTAAAGATTGCAACGTGTCAATGGATTACAATTACGTTAGTATTTTTCAATCTTAGATGGCAGAAAGAACCCAAATAGAGAAAAAAAAGTCAATCATTGAACACTCAAACAAAAAAATAATCATAGGTTGCACTCAAAATATTTATTTATTTTTAATAATCCAAGAATTTACTTTTTACCATGTTTCATTTAAAAATTATCACTACGTAGTTTATTCAGGATGCATCGGTATTTTTTCAGGTGATTGTGGGTAATCAAAAAGAAAAAAAAATAAATCGAAGTTCGGACACTCAATTGAAAGGGATTTACCAATTGAACACTAAAAAAAAAAAAACAATTAGACACTCAAATTGCTGTTTTCTCCAAAAGAGGAAAAAAAAAAAGTATTTCCTGTTATACCTTTTTGGACAGGACCAACTTCAGCCACATCAGATAGATGACTTAGAGAATCCACTGGAAATACTTTGCACCTTCTCTAGCTAAGTAAATGGCTTTTGTTTTTGGTATACTCTTTAAGGTTGGAGGAGCTTTCTGACTTCTGGAGGGCCCTGAGCTACTTCTCAAATTCACTTTTTCTGCTAGATGTAAAACTACTATAGAATCGAACGAGCCAAATTTTATTTCTCCTATGAAGATTCCAATTACACCACCAGAGAGGACCAGCAGCATGTCCATGTCTGCATGAGAAAAAGAAGGGAGATTTGGTTGTGACATTTTTAGTGAAAGTCAATACAGAACAATGTTGCAGAAAAATCACCTCCAAATTCTTGTATGTGTGATCTTGAAACTACGCACTCGTAGACAGAGAAAATGAATAAAAACTAAGTCAGACAATTGACATAGAGAACAATTTGTGAAATTAGCATTACAAATCCAACTTCTTCTGATGCTATGCTTTGGTACGTTTAGCAGTTTCATCTTGTAGATTCATTGTAACACAGAATTGAGTTCATAATGATTATCCCTGTCAAACTTAATTCTCAGCAAATGACCGCGCATGACAGGTTTATGTCAAAAAGTGTTCAGAAAATGAATTAGTTCTACTTGCAGAGAGCATCAAGCCTAGAAGATGAAATAGACTATAAGGTATGCCAGACGACTTAATCAAACTTTCCAAGTTCCATCCAAAACCAGATAGAGATCAACTGTTTCTTAATACGAATTACAAGGTACTGATTCTTGAAAGGAATTTTGACATCATTCTGTTTCCCATAGGAGTAATGTATTTTAACTCCTGCGTAAAATTTTAGTATAATCAAGTCCTTTTAGCTTCCACTATACAGAAGCATGGAAATTTAGCGATGCCTTTCGCATAATAGTCAGGGTCCTTACCCCAAAACTCAAGAGACATGCAAAAACCAGAGTAGTGTCAATGCTAGAACTATGGCTCTGCCATTACTTAAAGAAGAAAAAGATCAAGTCAATTATTCTTGAAAACAAGCTATTGCCTAATCTTGTTCGTATACTCCTATTTTGCAAATAATTCAATAACATGTCATAAAAAATATGGTATTTGAAATCTGGCTCTCCGCCCGCAGAATCTTCTTGAATTTTGGACTGAAGGGATATGAAGTGCCAAATTCATGGAAGTACATGTAAAAGCGTTCTTTCTTTTTTCTTTAAAGCAGACTGCACTTTTTTCACTTTCCGAAGGATATGAGAATGATAAAGTTCTGCCACACAGAAACTCAACAATCTCTAGAGTCAAGGCCCTCACTTTAAATATCTAAAATTACGACTCCTTCTTGTCTGAAATTTCGGTACAGAAGCTTTTCAAGCTTCAGAGCTATTTGTTTGTGCCACTTGTCAACTTTAATACTCCCAATCATCGAGCTTTGATCAAATTCTCCACTAGGCAATAATTGGCACCAGATTCTTGCTTTGTTGCCAATTGGTACTTTTTCCACCAAGAAATCTACATTTTGCAGGTTTCAGCACGGATTCAATTCACTGGTGCTCTAAAAGGTTTGTTTGGCTAGAGGATCTAAGCATAAGACATGTTCATGATGTAATTCCTTTTCAAAAAAAGCATGTGTTTAGTGACATCTAATTTCAGTTGCCTAATAATAACGTTCAGTGGTGATGATAGGAAAATTTCAAACTAAGGCCGCTCGCATCACAATTTGAAGACAGAATCTTCTACTGTGCCCTCAGATTTATAATTCAATTCACCGTATGTACCTTGATCATGCAACCTTCCGTCGGCATTATAGAGCAATTCTTGATTTTGAAATAATGGCCTGTACTCTGTACTAAGAAGGTTTATTTCCTTAAAAAAGAAAGAAAAAGAAAAGAACCAAAGAAGAGACGAGTGTTGTGATCTTTTAGGAAAAGGGGATTGCACTTTTATTCAGAAAGTTTTTTGTCCAATAGCTCAAATCCTGATGCCTTCCTGTTTTCTCCAAGAATAAGCTAAGCTTGGTCAAGCATACCTTATGACATACCAACTGATCCTCTGGCCCCCAAGTATCACTTTCTGCTGTCCGGTCCATACGTTGAGCATCTTGGCCTTTCCTTCACCCATGCGACAAATATATATTCTTAATTCATCGACAGAAGTCTCAATGGAAAGCAAGGAAGCAGTTTGGTTAAGATGTTCTTTCAAAATAAGGCCTCTTTTTATGTTGACAACAAAAGGCACTCTTGTTAAAGCAAAAGCTTTTCAAACTCACAATAGTTAACAATCATCAGCATCAATACATAGAGAAATGCATGACGTTAGCTTCTGCTAAAATGAAAAGCATAAAAGATGTAGAAGGCTAAGGCTCTCTAGGGCTTACACAAGAAGAATGGAAGGGTTGATCTAGATGGAAAATTTCAAAGATCTATGTCACATTATAACCATCCTAAGAACTGTGCACATAGCTCCCAAATTTCAGACAAACAGACGAAGAGGCATAAAGCACTCACTAAGGCGATTACTCATTGCATCTAACGCTGCAATGCTTGTAGCCTAATTTCTTTTATAATTTATTTGAGACCAACCAGGGTTAAAGCATCCAATAAATTCCCTAGGTTAACATTCAAACAAGATATTATTAACCTAACAGGTTCTTTTCCTTGCTGCCAATAGTTAGCGTGGGTTTAATTTAACCACAATGAGGTCTAAAATTTGGGCTTCTTTAATTTCCTATACAGTAGCCAGCATTTCTATTTGAATATAATCCAATTCGTAAAAAAAAAAAAAACCTCCTCACTTGAACGTGAAGGGCCTTTCGGCAACAAAATCTTAGAAGCCTCAATGTGTTGTTTATCCTGATAGCACAAACATGAAGCAAATAAAACTGAAGGAAATACTTCTCCGGAGGTTGTTTTTCAATCGGCAATAAAAGGTGAAACGTAAAAGATCTAATGTTAGGGTTAACGAATAGGAATTTCCCATCCACAGAGCAAGACATGGACAATATTAAAAAGACAAATTGAAGAATCAATTAGGAGGAATGTCTAGGTAACTTTTAGAAAGATATTTTCAAACTAGTAATAATAGCAATAATTGGGAAGCATATCCAGGTCACATGGACATGTTAAGGAAGAATGCTCCTCAATTGACAGCTTCAGAGGTAATGCTTTATTTGGATTCCTCATCCACTTCAAAAGTTAGTCCATTCTCTTGGCATGTCCTACCTCTTTGGAGGAATCTCACTAAGAGATTTCATCAACGAAATTGTTCAATAGCATTTTAGAAGCCCTTACCTATAGCATAAGTAGCTAACTCTTGGATCAGACAGAGAAGCTGTTCTCTTAAATTGTTGTAGAATATAACAAGACACTGATTAGATAATGATGCAACTCTAAAGACGCACGCTTGCAGGGAATAAAGGTGACTTGTCTTACTATTGCATGAATTAAACCTATTCTACTTGTGTGTGAAGCTCAAATGCACCCATATGTAACGGACAAAGTGCACCCATATGT